CCAACTGACGAATCCCGAATTTGACGAAATGCCTTTTAAACTGGATTCCACTGCTAGCCACTATCTCTCTTTGCTTACAACCAATTCTTCTCTTACAAATTGCAATACTGTAATGGAAAGATGGCATACTTTTTGAGGAAATATGGTGTTTTAAACAATAAATTTCTCAAACGTTAGGTCACAAATAAACTTTTCAAAGGATTTGTTTATGAAAAACTAATGTAGGTCAATTGTATAAAGTACAAAATCTTTTATAAACTTAAAAAAAAACCGAAACTTGATAATCTTTTGTAAGATTAATCCTATGGTCTGTTTCATTTATATGTTCAGTAATAGTGAAGCATGATTTCCTAATACCCGACATTTATCTAGGCAATGGAATGGAAAATGATTCCAAAAGTATTTACACATATTCACTTAGTATTGTTCGTTTGAAGCTTCCCATTGATGTTTTTAGGACTGCAACTGGTCAGTCTCTAATTGGCATATGTGCATACTGTGCGTATTGCCTCAATATAGCCTAAATTCACAAGTATGGTAAACAAAGATAGATGTTGGCTAGCAGTGCAGTCAAGGACGTTTGTTTCGTCCTATTTGGGACTCTTGAGCTGGATGTACCTGCATCTCAGAGTTAATGTTCACTCTGGATTCCACTGCTAGCGACTATCCATGTTTGCTTATTTATACATATGTCTTACCATCCTCTAATGAATTCCCAGGCTACTCCTTATATATACTTACATTTATATAGAAATATAGATTGATGAATCTAGTTGAATATGATGTAACCATTTATATAATTTGAGACCTTTGTTAAAAGAGAAGTGTTATCTTGCCAATGATGACTAATTGAGCAGCGTGATGTGTTTAATTGATGGTCGCTTCTAGTTTCTGTTATAAAATTAAACTGTGTAATTTACTACCGTATCTAAAATCTTTTCTTCAATATGAAATTATTACGTAGTTTTGATGTTAAATGACTGTAAAATCGATTCCACTGCTAGCCATTATCCATCTTTGCTTACCATGATTGTGAATTTAGGCTATATCGAGGCAATACACACAGTATTCACATATGCCAATAAGAGACTGATCAATTGCAGTCCAAAAACATCAATGGGAAGATTTAAACAAACAATATCAATCGAACTTCAATCAATGTTTGTTTACTACCAACCTTCCAGTTAGTCGTTTGAAATCTTCTACAATTATATTTATTATACGGACTCGTTAAATGCTATTGGAAAACAACCTAACGTTGTATTGTTATAAAACCTTGGGTATGGACTAGTCTAAGTTGTTTGGACGATTGCTGAATTTCGTGAATTGGTTGAAGTTAGACATTAACACCGTTGAATGCTAGCCCAGTGGTCTAAAGGTTGAGCGTTCTCGTCCGAGACCGACTGGTCCCAGATTCGAATCCTTCGATGCAGGATCAAGGATGCACGCTATTGAGGAGTCCCACAACAGGATGAAACGGCCATTCAGTGCTCCCAAGTTTTCCATGCCGGTGTATCTTCAATTGACTCACGATTTAAACTATATAAAATTACTAAAATCTCCACAAACCCCCTCTGATAATTACAATATTTATTGCTTCTTTAATTTTCTTTTCTTTTTCTCCAAATGCCATTAATGTATGTCTCTTTATCGTGATAATTTAGTCATATTTATTTATTTAAACATATAAACATTGATACAATGAAGCACCTAATATATATTCGCCACACTTTGTCGTTTGGTTTGTGTGAATACAGGAATAATGTCCGAGAGCTCAAACCAAAGTAAGCGTGTAGTGAACAGTACACAAATGAGGACAATCTAATATGTTTGACACGAAAATTACGGACTATCTCAGTAAATTCTGATGACCATACAGTTAATTTGCAAAATAACAATCAATTGTCTCAATCTTCACTATTCCTTTTGTAAATATCAGTTCGTCTTCTCTGATTTCATTGTTCATGCATTTTCATACCGATTGCGTGTCGTTCCTGTTCTTTCCTTATCGATCTTCTAGTGAAATACATTCCATGCCTGATCATCATTATATACTACTTATGTGGATATAAATGACCCACACCACAGGTGGTCTTCTTAGAGGACCACTTCACGAGCCTATGACCTAGAGGTCTAGTTCACACGGAAGTTGAGCAAAATTAGGAGACACGGTCCCATGGTAACCAGTGTCTAACAAAAGGTTCATACTTCATTTGTTCCCTCAGGATCTTGAAACCCATGTACACGAAAGGTTCGGAATCAGGGTTTTCCAACTCCTCTGGGTGAACCGTCCGTGTTCACCAACCTGGTTAAAAAGCCAGACATTCGCTTTTCGTCCTCGCTATTCGGTAAACGACATCCCGGACATGAGAAGTTAATGAGTAGGACAACGCTGACAGTAGCTATATACGTTTAACCATATGAGAGCACTTTGTGAGAAACAGTTGACTCTTCCCACCTTCAACATTATAATCGAAAATTGTTATATTATTATTTGATCTACTCTTAATATTTATAATATCTTGCGGTAACCTTTTAAGTAAGATTGCTCGTCTCCAACATTCTGATTCAGGTAAGTATCAATGAACTGTACATAAATTCTTTGGCCTCTTTGTGTGAAATCCAATTGCATTGACAAACGGTGAATGTTGAAATAATAAGAACAGTAATAAAACATACATTCAACTGAGATATAATTTAGAGCATTATAGAGTTGATTGTGATAGCACTAGTTATGATGACAGTAATCCAAATATTAACCTCTCAGTCAGTCAGTCAGCTACAACTTGGGACCAGGCACATATATGCATCGGTTCAAGTTGCCATATCTCGTTAGCACAACAAGATGAACACCAAATTCATAGAAGTAGTTAATTTAGTGGTGGTAATATATAAAAGGAAGATTGTATATAAGGATATATTACAGGAAGGAAGACAGATATTAAGCAATTTCAATCTCAAGGTTTAAGGGAAGATCGATTCTGAGCCATGTCACTTAGAGTCTCCAACCATTGGTTACGATAGTCACGCAGAACCCAACCAAGTAATTTGCATCTACCAACATGGCTCAGAGTAGAAGTTAGTGACTTCACACAACAGTAAACAATGATTCTTATTGTTTTAGACAGTAACCAAAAGATAAATGTTAATCTCCTTACAAAATGATCTAAAAAAATAAACTCATTAAAGAAATAGTATTATTTAAAACTATTTTGAGAAATGATGGATAGTGGCTAGCAGTGGAATCCAGTTTGACGCGCGTTTCGTCCTATTTGGGACTTGTCAGCTGGATGAACTTGCATCTCACAGTTGATGTTCACTCTGACACTAAAACCCAGTACCGTTCGCTTCAAACGCCATCGAGTTATCCACTCGTCCACCGAGTCCTGATAACCACTTGCTTGTATAATGGGGTGAAGTTTAAATTCATTTAGTATTGTTTGTTTGAATCTTCCCATTGATGCTTTTTGGACCAGTTGCAGTCCTAAAATTATCAATTGGAAGATTCAAACAAACAATACTAAATGAATTTATTTTGAGAAATAGATTTCCAAATTGTCAGGAGAGTTAGAAACCTTCCAGATAATATAACTAACTATGCACTGTTTATATGACTATGTCATATAGATAATACAACGATATATTAAGTAGTGAAGTTGATTAGGGGGGGGTGAATCATGGAGATGAAAAGAAAGGAACGGACAAAATTTGTGTCTTTTTTAAATCTTGATTCAATAAAGTAAATCATGATTAAGTGGTTTTTATCTCTTGTTCGTTGATAAGAAAGTGGACAGTTTAAGGTTATCATATTTGAAGTAGATATCAATAGTTAAAATTTCTTCGACCTCTGTTGAAATTATCCCGATGAGTTCTGTTTCGTAACTAAAATCCTATTTCATAAGAGTAGAGGATAAACATCCATCATCCTCTATTGCTAAACATATAATCAAAACAGGTCATAAGATTGATCTTAACTCGGCTTTTGTGGTGTTGTATAAAAGTGTAAAAGTGCGTATAATAAGGTTTATTGAAGCCTTAACCATACGAAAATTCAAACCCCCTTTTGTGTATCTAAAAAACAGTTTGTTCTCACCGTAAACCTACCCTGGTAACAATAGCTTATTATCCAGAGTGATTAGGTATCAAATTGTTGTCAGAAGGGGTTTGGTGGAGATTTTAGTAATTTTATAGAGTTGAGATCATGAGTCAATTGAAGCTAGACCATCATGGAAAACCTGGAAGCACTGCTTGACGGCCGTTTCGTCCTATTATGGGACTCCTTAGAAGTGTGCATCCACGATCGCGCCTCGTGAGATTCGAACCCAAGACCTATCAGTTTCGCTCCAGAGCACTTAACTCATGATTTCAACTATTAAAATACTGAAATCTCCACAAAACCCCTTCTGACAAAAATATATAATAAACAAACCAAGATAATATCAAAATATGATTATCATTATAGTCATTAGTCTATGAAAACTTAAAAAGATTAGTCAGTATTTCGCAAAAACCATTTAATAATTATTATGCTACTTCGTAATGTAATCTTTATATAATCTACATAGGTGCAAAATGAATACGTAGCCCATCTTACTAGAATATTCAGTGAGACTATAATACATGGACGACATTTGAGAAATCCTAAAGTGACCCTAAAATTGTCGCTCTACTAACTAGGACTAAATCAGAGTTACAAACAAATGAGAGGAATTCGAATTAGGATTTACAATTGATAGTTATAGTTAGGAATTAGATTTAGGGTTTTCATCATGAAGTGACATCAGTTAAAATACCAAAATACTATTTAGCCAAATGAATGAATGAATGAAGTTCACGCCAAAATTCAAACCTGTTATTGTAAATCTGATTGGTAAATATGTCATCTTACGTTTGTGGTAGTTATACGACAACGATGAAATTGTTTTTATAGAAGTTAAAAAGTATTAATAAATCATCCTAAAGTGGTTCTATCTATTTCATTTACATAAATCCACTTGAAGGAATTCCATTTAATTCTACGAAGAATGTAAAAGTAAGTTGCAGCAGCGGCCTTGACGGTTTCTTTTTCTGAGCCATCTGACGCCACCAAGTTGGATCATCTGAAGAACTTCAACCGAAGATTAGCGGTATACCAAGAGGTCAAAATTGTATACAGTTATTTTTTATATCATGAGATTATGTAATAAACTAATCATCGTTTCGTTTTGCAACGGATTCATTGTTGCCAAATAAAGCATGATATAGAAACTGCTGTTATGAAATTACTTAAATATAGTTAGCCATCTGACCCGTTTTTTCAATAAGGCAACACAATTTGAATTACTGTCACTGTGCTTAAACACGCATAGGTGAACCTCAGTATTACTAAAACGGCGCGGATGTGAAAAATCTTTTGAAAATAACGATAATTGAAAGCAGAAATCTCTTACTTGAAGGATCTAGAATAAACAAGAACAAACCAGTATTGCTGTCATCAACGCGTTATGAACTTGATATTTTACGGCTATACTAACAGAACGTTGATGACAAAGATAATCCAGAATATTACAAAACTTTTTGACTCGCCTTATATATAGATCGGTCTTTTCTGTCGCTATCATTACTCAAACAAATACTCAAATACGAACATTTTTACTACTTCAAATTATTTGCCACAAACAATCCCTGATGTCACAGGCTCTTGCTAGTTTTCAGAAGTACTCTGTATTATGAAAGTCTAAACCATACTAACGGACAATGATTCTTGTAGCTAGTCTATTATCATGCAGTAAGACAATTTTATGAGGATATTCAACATCGAAAATTCATTATGCAGTTAACAGATCCATACTATCATATACTCCTATCAGGGACGTTTTTAGACTATCTCTGATAATAGAGTTAAAAAGTCTTGAGGTTAAACAACTTTGCCATATCCTGCTATTAGAATGAAGCAATAGATCATGTTTATATGCTCTTAATTCCCTTAATTATCCATAAAAAGAGGTGCTCACGATGTATATAAAATTCTTATGACTATCTTTCTTCAACAGACAATCCTATAGCTCGGTCCTGTCTTATGAATCAAAGACTGAGTTGATATCAAGAAGTACAATAATTTTCAGTTTTCAATACAGTAACTATGCTCACTAGTGACTGGCTCCTTAAGGTAATTCCTGGAGTTCTAGTAAGAAGTCGTGACCAGTGGAGCTAATCCATGTCAGATAGAGACAGGTATATATCTCAATACAATGGAAGTTGGTCGCGCAATTATTGGATTGGTTAAAGTTAGACATTAATACTATCGGATGCCGGCTCAGTGGTTTATCGGTTAAGTGCTCTGGCGCGCGACTGGTAGCTCTTGAGTTAGAATGTATTCCAGTTCGTTGACAAGATCCTACTAAGAATCATTCCAAAACTCATAAATTAAACTCATTTCCAGAAAAAAAAGAAAAAAAACTTTCTCAAAAAAAAATTAGTTGGTCTATCGGTTAAGTGCTCTGCCGCAAGACTGGTAGGTCCTGGGTCCGAATCTCGCGAAGGTGGGATCGTGGATGCGCACTGCTGAGGAGTCTCAGAATAGAACGAAACGGCCTTCCAATGCTTCCAGGTTTTCCATAATGGTCTAGCTTCAGTTGATTCACGCTTTCAGTTATAAAAATATTAAAATCTCTACACAAACCCCTTCTGATTATTATATAACATTGAGATAGTAAACTTTTATAGGAAATAAGAATAAAGACTTTACTTTCATCCAAGATAACTTATGTTCCTTCTTTTCACTAATTCGTTGATATATTGATTTGTTTTCTCTTTTTAAAATTCATATATCTTGTTGCTACTATGAAAATCTTTTAACTTTCATTTTCATTCTGTTCTTAAAACAAAACTAAGAAATCTTTATACATCAATGATGTTTGATCTGAATATGACCTTTATAGAGAAACAAGTTAACCAATTTGATATGCAAAACAAAAAAAACCCCAATGAGTATGAACAAACATGAATAGTGGTTGGCAATAGAATTCACGAAGCGCGTTTCTTCCCATATGGGACTCATCAGCTGGATGTATCTACATCTCGGCATTGATGTTCACTCTGAGACTCGAACCTAGTAACTTTCGTTTTAAACGCCATTGCTTTTTTCACTTAGCTATTGAGTCCTGATAGTCACTTACTTTTGCGATGGGATGAAGTTTAAATTCACTTAGTATTGTTTGTTTTGAATCTTCCCATTGATGTTTAGGACTGTAATTGATCAGTATCTTATTAGTATATATGCATAACCTTAATTCACAAGTATTCTAAGCAAAGATGGATAGTGGCTAGCAGTGCAATCCAGGACGCACAATTGGTATTTAAATAATTCCAACGTTTCGTCCAGTTAACTTGTCTGGACTTCTTCAGGATAATAATCAAAATCAAAAACATCAAAGAAATATATATAGAGTTTTTTTCTTTAACACGCTTATCAAAATCTATACTACGTTGAAACCAATCATATTTAGATGTTAAACATCGAAGACCTTCAGATAAGTTAGCTGGATGAAACGTTGGAATTATTTATTTAAATTTCAGTTGCTGAGATGATTCCAAATATAATATTCATATATAATGACTTCTCTATACTCGAAGCCCAATAGTTGTCAAGCTATTCGTTTTAATCTTGACGATTATTCGTATAAATTAAAAACATTAATGACTTATAAAATATTCATTTGTTAATAAATAACTAATTTTTTATAGAGTTAAGATCATGAGTCAATTGAAACTAGACCACCATCGAAAACCTAGAAGCACTGTTTTAAGGCCGTTTCGTCTTATTAGGGGACTTCTCAGTAGTGCGCATCCACGATCCCACCTTCGCGAGATTCGGACCCAGGACCTAACAGTCTCGCGGCAGAGCACTTAACCAATAGACCAACTAATTTTTTGTTGAGAAAGTTTTTTCCTTTTTTTTCTTCTGGAAATGAGTTTAATTTATGAGTTTTGGAATGATTCTTAGTAGGATCTTGTCAACGAACTGGACTACATTCCCAATATTGTGGTTCACTAGGTGTTTGTGGAGTGGTTTAAAAAAAACTTACTAACCGCCTTGCCACAGTATGATAATGCGAATTGTACATGTTCTAAATCAGTCTCAATGAGATATTTTGGTTTGTATGCCTTCGGTAGTCCGTATAACCTAGGTAAATGGGTACCTATCAGTTTAACTGTTTCGTATATGTTTGCTGGAATTATCTGTTGATCTCTGAGCTTTTAAAAAATCTGGTCAGTTCATTCTCTATCTTACTACTGACATCGTGTTATGACTTGACCTACTAGCCGTCGCCAATCTGTTATGTTTTTTTACCTAGACTGTAGCCAATTGTTATGACATGGTCAAGGTCGTCGATGATTTGTTATGACCTTACGAATTTAACAAGGACGTAATTCGCGTAAATTATCCACCAATAGAATACGACTTCTACGACCTTCACACTGTGACAATGACGTTCGATTAGTATGAGTAATCTAGCGTCCTTATTGGCCCTTATCCGCCTAACTCGTCCACTTGAGTCCAAAACATCAATAGCAGCCTCGGCAATACGAATCGTTTATTTCAAGCATACTTTGTTTATATATCAGACAGACAGGCCACATCATACCATAAAATAGAAAATAATATTTGTACAAAACCAGACCAAATGAGGCTGTAAGCGTGGGAGACAATAATCAATAAAACTGAGTATAACATAGGGACAGTAAATCATATAGTAATAATCAATCGGTCAAAATGAAGCTTAGATAATCTAGTTACCGAATAGTTATACAATAAGAATGATAGTCCAATAGTAGGTCCTGCAATTTACCCGTACTTATGTCTTCGCTACTACATAACACATCCTTTTGGTCATTAAGTTTCTTGAGTTTTAGATGACCAGTCAAGTTGTTATTCATCTTTTCAGTATAGTCTTTTATATCAAGTAAGACAACTTAAGAATATTTTTATGATGTAAGCTGGAAGCCCGTTATCCCTTTCAAATATACTCTACTGTATTTAGTCATAGATATAGGTTCTATGTATGAATTTCGTCATAAGAGATTGATACATCTATATTTGAACACAATATATTAACCTGAAATCGAATAGATAAACAGTAAATTATCTTAATGACTTTATAATATCAAAATACATTATAGATTACGTTCCCTTGTTTATTTAATAAATAAAGCTCATTTCAGTGTAAGGTAATACAAAGTGATGGATAGGTACTACTTATGAGTCCTATATTAAAGTATGCCTATTGTCTTATGTTTCCTCGTTTTCATATGAATGTATAAGTAATATAAGTCAGTGATGTGATATCACATTGAAGGTGCAACGGATGTTCTAATTTTACAACTCGTTACCAGTAGCACCTTCTATGTTCGATCGTTCCCAGTCAGATAGAAATCAGAAGTCAGACGAGAAGAGGCAGGAAAGATATATTTGATTCGTTACCAATATATCGAGGACCTTTTCTATGAGCTGGCTAATGAAACGTAGGAGCTGTGTCCCACGCCGAGTTGAAACATGATCTGGTGAGGATGCATGACCGAAAGCCTTCAGTTAAACAAGTCCACTTAAACAACATGGTCAGCATCCAAAGGCGAACACTTAATGAGCTATTGATTTTGGGGAATTATTTACAGCTACAACATCAATGTGAGTGTGCATTTTTTGTTGTTGTTGTTGTTGTTGAGATGTTCTACATACTAAGTCTAAACTACTCATTAAATTTCAGTAGTACCGTAAATGATATCAATCTACAAGGAATATCATTTACACAATAATAATAATAATAATAATAATAATAATAATAATAATAATAATAATAATAACAATAACAATAATAATAACAATAATAATAAAGGATAAACCATTCGATTTATTGTAGTGATCCCAATCGTCAAACTGCATTATTTAAAAAAAATAGAAAACAGTTGTTTCGTTCTTATATTTTTTAAAATCTCGGTAACTATAGTTGTAGTAAAGTGGAACACAACTGGGGACAAATGGGTACACCTT